TTGAGGGCTTTGCCTCAGGACTGCGAGGGAAAATGCAGAAAGCTTTCGTTCCCCGTTTCTAAAACCCGTTGAAGGTGCGTAACAGGGAGCAGTAATAGCTGCCATTGTCTTCATGGCGGGCGGATGCGATGATGAGGATGCAGGCATTGCTGGCGAGGTCTTTGGTAGCAGAGAAGCGGTCGGGAATCTTGGCGGGCTTGTGCTTGTCTTGCTCGGAGTTGTAATAGAGCAGATACCTCAGGGAGTGCCCCGGGCGCTGCTGGTACCAGGAGATGCCAAACTCGCTGATATTGTACTGGGGGCTCAGGGTGCAGGACAGCCGAGCAGTCTGCCCGGGCAGCACCGACACGGAGGGTGTCTGGGTCAGCATGGGCCGAGCCCTGGAAGCTGTGCACACCAAGGATGCGGTTACTGATGGTCTGAGCCATGTCTCCATCACCCCCAGCCCCAACACGTCCTCCTGCTCCCTTGAGGCGACCCCATTACCCAAACTCCATCCTGCTCATCACACCACACAGCCCTGGAGCACGATGCCCTCCTCAGACTAACCTCTCCCTTGTGCAGCCCAGTCCTGCCCACCACCCTGCAGTGCCCACCCCAGACAGCAGCTAGCTCAGCCACACCACCCTTACCTGTCCCCACCGTCCCCATCAGGAGCAGGACCATGAAGCCCAGGGCCATGGTAGGAAGCAGAGGAAGGAAGGCCGTTTCGGAGAGGGTCTGGGGTGCTACACAAGCCCCGGTTGCTGTGCCGCTGGCGCCAGTGAGGTGTATGTAAATGACACAGGGGGCTCGGGGACTCCAGCTCCCTGCGTTGCTCGCTTTGCTGCAGCTGGGCTTCAGGGAGGGGGCTCGAAGCAGCGGGGCGAGAGCTGAGCATTGCGACCCACCGCCCACCTTCACCCCAGGCGAGGCCATTTCCTCCAGGTGTGCCGATGCACGCACAGCCCACCCCACTCCACCCCCCCTCTGCCCCGGGCACTGGGGTTCGGTGGGGAGGTGTCGCTGACCACCTCTCCTCTCTGATGGGGACAGCAGAGAGGTTTCCCTGTGGTCTTACACTCAGACCTTTTGCCTCGGGCCCTCTGCCACCAGGTGCGCAGGAGGCCAGGAGCCTGAACCTCACCATGCCGAGGATGCCCTGCGGCAGGGGCCG